CATTTTAAACATTTTTGGGAAGGGGAAGGTGCTAGTACTGTCTACCCTTGTGTACCCCCAGAAAAAAGCACTAATAATTATAATAATTTTATTTTCTACTCCGCTCATCTGACTAGGTATCCCCAGCCACTCTGGCTCCAAAATTATTATCAAACCTGGATTTCTTCACTTGACTCCTGGTGTTCAGATGCTGGCTGCAGGCGATTGCCTTGGGCAGAAGTACCTAAGTCCTCAGGAAATTGTTGGTAAAAGAGGTTTTGATATCATTATTTTAGGCTGTGGTATCTTATCTGTGCCCAGGCGCCCAGATGAAGCAGTAGAAGCAACTTTTCCCTATGTCCCATTTTTGTGCCCCCATTTCAGCTACTTGTCCAATAGGATTCCAGACATGCTTAGAAGGCAAACACCTGGCTGGAACCGACAAGCGGAAAAGTGGTGCTAGTGGGTTCCAGCAGGGTCAGACCAACCATTTGGGAGAATGAGGCAGCAGATTTCCCATCCATACTGTCTTCATAGCTTGCAGCACTGCTTCTGTTCCACTGCAGTTCAGCTTCCAAGAAAAGCAATGCTATTGATCTCAGTGTTCACACCATTCATTTCAATTCAAAGGAAACCCCATGCAAATTGGGTAGGGAGATCATCAAATTATGTATCTACTAACCAGAATAGTTATGCTCCGCCCCCAGAGTCATAAGCAGTAATGCTTCTCAGTGCCACTTGCTGAAAGCCACACGAGGAGAGAGTGCTCTTGTTCTTGGGTCATGCTTGTGGGTTTCCCAAGAGTCATCTAGTTGGCCACTATGAGAACAAGATGTTGGACTAGATGGGCCACTGGCCTGATCTAGCAGGCTGTTCTAGCAGGGCCAGAGGTGGCTCTATGGTCTAAAGCAGAGGTCAGCAAAGTTTTCCGCTGGTGGGCCGGATCACCAGTGCACAGGAGCATGCGGGCGCACTCGCAGGAGTGTGCACACCCGTGCACATGCGCACATATCCATCACTCTTTCCCCACTGGTTTTTGGAGCCATGGCGAGGGAGAAGGAGGCATCTGTGGCTTCCTATTGGCTGCAGGAGCTTCCTGCAGTCAACAGGAAGCTGTGGCTGTGTCCCGGAAGTCAGTCCCCATGCGGAGCAACCGGCACAGCATGCCAGTTTAGCTCCGCTCAGGGACTGACCGAGCAGGCGGCAAGGGCTGGGGGGGTGGTTTAATGACCCCCACGGGCCATAGTTTGCCAACCCCTGGTATAAAGCACCGAGCTTCTTGGGCTTGCTGATCGCAAGGTTGGCAATTTGAATCCGCATGACGGGATGAGCTCCCATTGCTTTGTCCCAGCTCCTGCCAACCTAGCAGTTTGAAAGCATACCAGCATGAGTAAATAAATAGGTACCGCTGAGATGGGAAGGTAAACAGTGTTTCCGTGCACTCTGGCTTCCATCACGGTGTCCCGTTGTGCCAGAAGCAGTTTAGTCACACTGGCCACATGACCCGGAAAAGCAGTCTGTAGACAAATGCTGGCTCCCTTGGCCTGAAAGCGGAGATGACAATCACACCACTCAGTTCATAGAGTGAGCAGGTGGATACGATTGCATTTTTGTTCCTATTCCATAGTATAGTTGGCATGAGTAGTAAACTGTATTTTTTGGGTTGTAACAGAAGGTAAACTGCTGATCCATCTCTCATTCAGCAAGAAATAGGTAGCCGTGTAGGCTGCAAGCCTCCTACTTGCTGGTAGTGATTGATGAAGCTGGAAGACCAAGACACTCCTCTCTTCCTTGGGCCCAAGGAACAGGCAAAAAGCAGCCACTGAAGAAAATGAAAACACAGAGCTAAGAAGGTGAATGCGTTGGAGAGCTGTATGTGAATCCCGGGGGACACTCAGAAGCACTACATAGAAAAATATGGAAAGAAATAAAATTTTAAAATAAAGTTCTAAAAATAAAAAAGGAAAGAATAATAGAATATATCTCCTAGTTCAACCTCTTGCAATGCAGGAACCACAACTAAAGCATCCTTGACAAATGGCCATCCAACCGCTATTTAAAAACTTCCAACGAAGGAGAATCTATTATCACCTTCTGAGGTGGGAGGGGGGGGACCCAACACAACATATCTGTTAATGAACTGAATAGAGTTCCATGATGCTGATATTACCTGCTTTTGGATCTCTCCCTTTCTCTCTTCCTTGGTTTTTCCTGGGTGGCACAGTGGGAATCCTTAGCATTACATCTTGAAAGTCCACACACACACACACACACACACACACACACACACCGTATTGCTGTGATGGGTGGAACTGAGAGGGATTCATTCAGATACTTTCCTACTTTCCTTCAAGCCAGGCAAGAAGAAGATTCACAAAACAGCTATAAGGGCATGATCCAGCATCCCGGAGTAATTGTGAATGTGTCAAGTTTTTCCACTGGCAATAGGCCGGGTGCTTAGCTGAATTAGGCACACCTGAAATACATGAGGACAGTGTTGGGTTACCTGATTGGCAGATTAAGCATATGCTTAGTGAATTAGCAAAACAGAGGCATAAAAATGAGTTTTTAAAAAAATAGAATTTCACATTTGATTATTTTTATAAGCATCAAAAATAGCCATTACAGTGGTGCCTCGCAAGACGAAATTAATCCGTTCCTCGAGTGTCTTCGTCTAGCGGTTTTTTCGTCTTGCGAAGCAACCCTATTAGCGGCTTAGCGGATTAGCGCTATTAGCGGTTTAGCGGCTATTAAAGGCTTATCGGCTTAGCGGATTAGCTGCTAAAAGGCTATTAAAGGCTTAGCGGCTTAAAGGGGGGGGCGGGGAAAAAATCTCAAGACTCGCAAGACATTTTCGTCTTGCGAAGCAAGCCCATAGGGAAATTCATCCTGCGAAGCAACTCAAAAACGGAAAACCCTTTCGTCTAGCGGGTTTTCCGTCTTGTGAGGCATTCGTCTTGCAAGGCACCACTGTATAGAAAAAATCAGAACTTTATTAGACTCCATTACACTCTACTATACACACTGTCCCTATTTTTTTGTTCTCTTTTTATTACTTATCCCCACCTAAATCAGAAGGCATCCTACTAATGTAGAAGAAAAAGTAAAATTTTATTTTATGGTTTAGTATTGTTTTTATTTTAAATAACATATAGGGGGCACTATAATCTTTTCAATGCATAGGGCCTTTAAAGATCTTAATCTGGCCCTGCATAAGAATGGAAATGCAGTGATAAACCTTCTAGCTGTTTAAGGAGAACATTGATAGAAAACAGAGTAGGAAACCTCAAACCCAGGGGCCAAATGTGGCCCTCCAGTCCTCCCTATCCAGCCCTTGGGAGTCTTTTCAGGCCACAACCCTCAACAGTAGTGCTTTGAATCACCCTTGAGAGCTTTTGCTTGACTTGAATGCATCCCTGAACTCTTATCACTAGCCTGCTGTTCAAAGGTTAAATCTGCATTTATCGTTCCATGCACTTCTGCCTTTAACTCCATGCACTGATCTGTTGCCCCCAGAAGTTTGCAGCCCTCTGCCTGAGGAAGGTTCTAGGGATCATATGTGGGTTGGACAAACATGGCAGTACTGGCATATATGTGTAACACAATACTGCGCTAGACGGACCAGTGGTTTGATTCTGTATAAGGCAGCCTCCTATGTTTCCAATTGTTAAAGTCATCCCAACGCATGTGACTTGCCTCCAAACCCCACAGTGGTGTCATTCAAACAGGAATATCTAAATCTGCCTTGACTCAATTTAAAGAGAAATCCAATGGCGATTCTGGTCTTGATTTTTTTCCCATTTCAAAGCCGGAATTCAGTCACAAGTCCCGAAATAATTCCAGTAATCCTGGAGTAGCCAACTCTGTATTTATTCTACACCTTGGGCAGGAAGGCAGTTCGTTGATTGTCCACTTACGGCCAGAAAGGATAACATCTGTAGAAACTCTCAGGGAGGTTGACTTCTTTTTGTCCATGGTTTCTATCAACAAATGAAAATTGTGGATCACCTACGTCATGCAGAGGGTATAGAGCCAGATAACTCTTCCTTCCAGCTAATCTCATTGGAAGAGCATTGCGATTCAGTGACTTTTGGAAGGTGACCTACATCCTTCATTTGGGAAGACGAAGATGACACAATGTTGACAGAAAAATAAGTACACATGTCCAAAAGTACTATTTCCAATGCTAATATATATTCCTAAAGGCAAACTCGAATTGAGGAGTTGCAGGAGGTTCCAGGATAGGATCTCTGTTGTCTGTTGTAGCACAAAGATGTTATGCTCCTGCGATACTAAGTTTCAGGATACAAAACATAGCGTACAAGAGGCAAGCAGTGCTGTGTCCTCCAGATGTTGTTGAACTCCAACTACCATCATCCACATCTGGAAGGGCACAACTTCCTCCTCTCTGCATTAGAGAGCAAGTCCCACTGCACATAGTTCTGCGTAAAAATTAATAGAATTATGCTGATGGTTTGTAGTATGTTTCACCAGTTATTTTAAACCAATATTAACAGGACACTGGGGAAAAAATCATGCAGAGAACATGGGCTGAGTGGAAACCCTCTTTGTCCATAATGCCATAGATGTTTCCTTTTTTTCCTTTGATGAAATAAATGCTGCAATCTCACAATTTGGGGAAAAGAGGCTCATTAGGTGAAAGAATTTTCACAATGAATGCAGTGAGTGCTCATGACTACATTTAGTTTACAGAATGTGTCTAGTGTCTTATCCCAGTCAGCAAAACTCTAAAACACATAGTCTAAGGCCCCGCTTGGATTACAAGCTTTGCAAAATAGTAGATGAAGCAGGTGCATAACATTAAGTATACTTTGTGAGCACTTGTTTGTAAGAACAGGATCCAACATCAAAGCTTTTTTTGCTGAATTTATAAGAAAATGTCCTGACAATGACAAACACGCTTGTAGCAGGGACTGTGGTTTAAAGAAAATCACATTTGTCTTTTGCTTAATGAGTTGCCCTTGGCATTTCCTAAAATCTACAAAAATGACCTTCTTAGCCCCCGCCCCACCCCTACCTCCTTGATGGCAATAGCTTTGAAGCTTTTGTGTTAATTCTGACAATGAAGTGCATGTATTTCACTCTTACAGAGTCTGCTGACAGAATGAAAAGTGTCAGTGTCATTAAAAATGACACTCTCTCATGATTACATCTTGCCAGTGCAATATGTATAAATTGACTCTAGTGATTTCCCCACAACAAGTTTTTACGCCAATACTAGCCCCTTTGTTGTCCTCTGTTCATTTCTTCCTAGTCTGCTGTGCTGTCAGATAATCTATTTCTGATTATTTTCATTTGCTGCACACCGAAATACATTTCCTCAAGATTCTGTATGTGATTAAGGGCTCATCCTTACTTCTGCTTGTCCCAAGCCCAGAAAGCCTAGGTCCACATGGTTTTTCTAGGCATGAGTCTGCACAGTTTTCCTCTTACTCCATTCCTTTCACAGGGAAAACCCAGGACTCAGCAAATAAAACATTTTCAATGTGTTACAAAGTGCAATATACAAATGTGACACTAGATGGCGAGAGTGAGCTATGCCAAATTCAAAGTATTTTTCAAAACTTTTTTTTAAAAAAGCATTTTCACAGTGTTTTTATATGCTCTAAATCAGAACAAGAATCTGTGAAAAACCTGACTGAGCACTAAAGAGTGGTTTTCCCCAGGGAAAAGCAGTGGAGGAAGAAGAAGTTTGGATAAACCCTAAATGGTTGTGTAAGACTTAAGAATGAATTATGGTCCAGTACACTTTAACTTATTCCACTTTTTCTTACAGATATGCTCAGGCCCCAAGATTTGCCTTATATCTTTGCATTTTTTAAAAATCCCATCTGTTTCTCAGTTGCTCTTTATCCTTTTTCTGTTTTCACCTGTCTTTCAGGTACCAAGCTGCTCTGTATAAAATGAAGCTCTGTGTTTCCCATTTGCTATAATGGGGAATTCAAAATTGGCTATAATATACAGTGCTGCGCTGGAAATTTCCCCAGCATTTCTTTCTGGCAATTCACCTTCAATCAATGAGAAAAAGAATTGCATTCAGAAGAGAAGGGGAAATTCTCATGGTGCTCCCCCCTCACACTTTTCTTATGGTTGAGGAGATGCTTATGAGTAACTTTTCTTTTCTTCTATAGCTCTTGTTCCCAGTGGTTGGAACTCTGCAGCCTTCCTGGGTCCTCACTCTTTCTAAAAACCCAACAAAGTCCTTGGGTGGGCTTTCCTACAGGAATAGAAAGCTGAAGAAGCTGTCTAATGTGAGCCTGAGAGCTGTTAGTTTTTATTTAATTGCAAGTGGGGGGAAAGCCTGTAAATTTCAGGTGTGTGGCACGCTTCTCTGGTTTCTCATGCTTCAAATAAAGCACAGGAGAAGCCATTTTGAGGCAACGCCTCCCAAAGAAGAGTTTGGATTTGATATCCCGCTTTATCACTACCCTAAGGAGTCCCAAAGCAGCTAACAATCTCCTTTCCTTTCCTCCCCCACAACAAACACTCTGTGAGGTGAGTGAGGCTGAGAGACTTCAGAGAAGTGTGACTAGCCCAAGGTCACCCAGCAGCTGCATGTGGAGGAGCAGGGAAGCGAACCCAGTTCCCCAGATTACAAGACTACCGCTCTTAACCACTACACCACACTGGCTCTTTTCAGTTCTGGAAGCCAGGGAGGCTGAATAACCATGGACTGAAAGGCAGGAGATAAACTGAAAGGAAATAAGTTGCTAGCACAGCTTCAGATCCCATTCTACAATTAACAGCTGAGGTGTTAATTGGGGTGCTGAAGTCATGAGAAGGTGATAAGGGAAACCACACCTGTTGGTTTTTTTTTCATTCTTTATATTCATAATGCATGCTTTCTGATGTCATCAATTTCGCAGGGAAGTAAGTTTTTATCACTGCTATATTTGCAATGTATAAATGGGAATTTTTGGGTTTCTCCCCCTTGGTTGCTTTTATTTTTTGTTTTATAGTTACAACACCCGTTCCCTCTTTTTGTGGCTCCTGTGTCTTTAAAAGTAGCTTGATGCAGAGTATGCTTTTTAAAAATAAATAAAACTAGTTTGACATACTGCAGTGACCAGAGGGTGTGTGCTGTTCAAGAGGCACAAACCTGAGGCCAGCTTTCTTTTCTTTTTAAAGCCACACCTATATATGTTATGGAACTCAAGCCAGCCAGAAGTGAAACTGGACAGAGGTGGATTTTGGATCAATGCAAACTGGGAGTCCACTGCAGTTGGGACTAGGCCACTGCCTGTTTTTCCCTTTCTGTGTCCAATAAATTAAGGTTGTACCTAAGGAAATTACTGCATTCAGATGTGGGGATTAATGCATAAGTTTAACTTAAGCTAGTACTCCTATCCTGGATTCTAACATTCCTTTTACATTTCATTACCTGTTGCATTACAGAACTGTGGCTTTTTGATCTACACACCACCATGTTGTGCTAAATTTCAAAGGCATACTTGGCAACTGTCCCAATTTGAGTGGGGCACCCCAAAATTACAGAAGCCATCCTGGCTTCCAATTAGATCCCAGGATGTCTAGTTTCAGTTCCCACAAGAGTGCGGCCCCCAAATATGCTCATTTGGGGGGGCAGGCTCTTATGGGAGTTATGTGACTCATGCAGGAGTTCAACCTTGAAATATGCATGCCCTGGTTTTCCTCAGCGGCATGTTGGAGGGCATGTAAATGGCAGAAAAGATTCTAGATGCCTCCAAGTCAAGATACTGGGATGCTTAGTCTTAAAGCATGGGTGGTGCTGTGGGTTAAACCACAGAGCCTAGGACTTGTCAATCAGAAGGTCAGCGGTTCGAATCCCCATGACGGGGTGAGGTCCTGTTGTTCGGTCCCAGCTCCCGCCAACCTAGCAGTTTGAAAGCACATCAAAGTACAAGTAGATAAATAGGTACCGCTCCAGCGGGAAGGTAAACGGCGTTTCCGTGCACTGCTCTGGTTCGCCAGAAGCTGCTTAGTCATGCTGGCCACATGACCCGGAAGCTGTACGCCGGCTCCCTCAGCCAATCAAGCGAGATGAGCGCCACAACCCCAGAATCGGCCACGACGGGACCTAATGGTCAGGGGTCCCTTTACCTTTAGCCAAACTAAGGCCCAGGGGCCAGATCTGGCCCAATCTCCTTCTCAATCTGGCCCGCCGACGGTCCGGGAATCAGTGTGTTTTACATGAGTTGAATGTGTCCTTTTATTTAAAATGCATCTCTGGGTTATTTGCGGGGCCTGCTTGGTGTTTTTACATGAGTAGAATGTGTGCTTTTATTTAAAATGCCTCTCTGGGTTATTTGTGGGACATAGGTATTCATTCATATATATTTTTCCCAAAATATAGTCCGGCCCCCCACAAGGTCTGAGGGGTAGTGGACCGGCCCCCTGCTGAAAAAGTTTGCTGACCCCTGTCTTAAAGGATGGCATTGATATAATGGGCATAATTGAAACTTGGTGGGCTGGAGAGAACCAATGGGATGCAGTTATCCCAGGATAGAATACAATCCCAGGTCTTAATACAACCCTAACACTTAGGTCCAGATTACTTTGTTAAATATGTTACTGGCAAATTCCTGAATCAGATAGATATGATTTCCTCATGTGGGGAATCATATATACCGATCAAACTTCCAGATTCCTAAAAACCATTGGATCTCCTTTCTTCCCTTCAGTGCAAATCACAGGAGAAGCAACTGCCCCAATACCCAAGATGGATAATAATTTTGTATAGGCCTCACCAACCTAGTGTTCTCCAGTTTTGAACTACCAAATCCCATAATACTTGACTGTTAGCTATACTGGCTGTAGCTGATGGGAGTTTAAGTCTAAAACACTGAGCTGGTGAAAGCTGATTTAGTTCCAAAAACCTAAACCAGCACAGGAAGCAAAACCATCTTCAGGAGATATCTGGAGTATGACAATTTGGGGAGATGAGAGCTGTTAGATATCACCTCTCAAAAAGCAAGAGATGGGTTAAGTGTCAACACCTTAGTGGTTAAAGCTTACTGGGGAATGATATATAATGAATTGAAAAATATGTTTAATTTAACATTTTTAAAAAAACAAAAACCAGAAGCTTTTCTCTTGGGAATCATGGGATCAGAGTTACCTAAACCATATAGAAATTTATTTAAGTATGCAACCATTGCCGCAGGAATGACATTCACCCAAAAATAGAAAGAAGAAGAAGTCCCGACGAAAGAAGAATGGCTGCAGAAATTAATGGACTATGCAGAAATAGCGAAACTTACCGGAAGGATAAGAAATCAAGACAAACAGACATTTTATCAAAGACCTGAAATCGTTTATTGAATATTTACAAACAAATTGTAAGCAAATTAAGACATTAGCAGGATTACTGTAAAATATAAAACATATATGAAATAGATGAGGAACAGAATAAATAGAGTTAACTGGGATATGCAGAATGGGGGGAAATAGGGTAAATTCATGGAACTGCTGAAAGGGGGGGAGGGAAGTCGAAGTTCGATATGTGAGACTTGTTTTAATTTCTTTGTTGAAATGTTTATTTATAAGTATCATTTATAACAAATAAACTTATAAAAAAAGTGTCACCAACTTAGTGTAGTGGTCAGAATTACAGAATGGATTTATCACCACTATTATGGAAAGTAGAAATAATTCAGATGGATTTAATGACAGAAATAAATGGAATATACAATGGATGATGTAGGGTAGGGGGTGGCAAAATAAACTGTGGAAACATAATTCTAATTGTTTTTAGTATATTAGCCTTAGATGCAAATATGTTATAATTTCTGAGGGTTTTCTTTCACCTTGGCTTGGTAATAATATAATTGTACCTTGGTTGCCTAGAATATAAGCACTCCTGATCTTCCTTCTGTCCACGACACAGAGAAAAGAGAGGCCAAAAGCACTACATAATATTTCTGTATGATACTAACAATTTGTGGCAAATGAAACCAAGACCAGTGTGGAGGCTGAGACACCAAGATAAAAAATTCACCAGCAGAAGTCTCTCCCATGTTTCTATTCCATAGGGTAGAGACAAGGTTTTCATAAAGATGGACATGAGTATAAAATTATGGACTACAGTCACTCATGTTACCAGTCTAGTGAACACCCCCCTGTATCTTAATGAGCTTTATTTGACCTTAGTGACACCAGCACGTATCTGAATATAATTGGTTCAGCATGTAATCCCTGATTGGTTGGGATCACTGAACGAAAAACAGAAAAATGTGGATTCCGAAGCAGAAGCAGAGGGAGAAAATAATGGCTGAAAATAGTGAGCAGCCATAGGTGGGGAAAAATGGATTAAGAGGTCTGGGATTCTCACCACATCACTTTTTTTGAGGCAAGAACATTTGATCCAGCCCTAAAAAGCATCAAATACAGCTACCGGGCAAAAAAAAATATGTCAAGAATATAGATTTAACCATCACTGAAGTAAATCCATCTATGTCCTTCTGCAAGTACAAATTAAAATGGCCAGCCTCTCTCTTTAATCTAGAGCATGTTAAAGTGAAACCTCAGTCAATGCCGCCCCAGCGTCCAAACGGCTCTGCCTCTCACACCAGTTAATTGCATTTAATAACATTTCCACACTCGTTTCATGCGGCAAGCATCTGATTTCATTTCTTGTTTCAGCCACATCGTGTCGGGCATCAGCCTGGCAAAGTGATGAGCTGGAAGGGGACTCCTGCTCTCTGAGGAAACATCCCTTCCATCCACACAACCTGGGATCCATGAAGGGCATTTTGAACTCCAGTGAAGGCTGGTCCATTAGGGCGAATGGAGCAGTATCTCACCAACCCCAGTCTACCATCAGCCAGCCCACACTGGCTTGCCTTCTTACTTACAGCCAGCCCCAGCAGGGTGGCTCCAGCAGCCAGCTTCATCCTCCTTAGTTTCTGTGTATGATTTTTTTTTTACAAAAAGATTTGTTCAGAGTTGCAAATTGACCTTTATGATTCTGGGATCTGTGCATTCTTGCCACGTTGTTTGTGAACTGAGTTCTCCTGGTATGCCCCGCAGAGGACCTTAAGGTCCACAAATGACAACATTTTGGAGGTCCCAAGTCGCAAGGTGGTTAGATTGGTCTCAACTAGGGCCAGGGCCTTTTCAGTACTGGCCCCAACTTGGTGGAATGCTGTGTCACAAGAGACTAGGTCCCTGTGGGACTTGACATCTTTCCACAGGGCCTGCAAGACAGAGCTGTTCCGCTTGGCCTTTGGTTTGGACTCAGTTTGACCCTTGTTTCCCTCCCCTTACGGTTTTGATCTATGGGCTACTTTTAAAATGAGGCTGCATTTTAAATTGCATTTTAAATTGGTTGCCCCCCCCCATTATGTTTTTACTGTAATTGTACTGGTGTTAGCTGCCCTGAGCCCGGCTCTGGCCAGGGAGGGCATGGTATAAATAAAATGCATTATTATTATTATCATCATCATCATCATCATCATCCTGTTCCTCTTCATTGTGCATCATGACTTCTTATTGACCTCTGTCCTGACTGGGTGCTGAAATGCATAGGGCGAGATATCAGTATTTTTAGTAGCATCGGTGGTGGGAGCTGTTCCCAAAGAAGGTGGTAAACTGCTTTAATCTAGATCTGACCACCAATCCATCTAGCTCAGTATGGTCTACACTGGTTTGCAGACAACAGATATTCCTGGAGATACCGGGGACTGAACCTTCTTCTGCATGCAAAACTACTACTGAACTATGATACTTCCCACCAGTGGCAATCATCCTCCACAGCCATCTCTCCGTCATATATAGAACTGATTCCTAATACTAGTAGATTAGAACTGGGCTCCAAGTAGAGCTAGGGATTGTGTGTATTACCAGGAGAACTTGAATCAGGAAGTCAGCCGCAGCAGACTAAGTGCTGCTCACAGAAAGGAAGAGCAGTTTTAAATTGAGACCGAGGAAAGGGTTTAAGCAATCAAGTTCTCAGCACCCTCATTAGTACGGTGTGATGAATGCACTGAAAAAGCAGAGCACCTCTTGAGATATCTCTTGTTATCGGTTATGGCAATTTCAGGTTAAGGCAAGGCTACCCATTTCATGGTAAGAAAAAACCCGAGCATTTTGCAAGCAGCGCCAAATTGTATTATAAGCCCATTATTTGTGAACTTCCTCACCAGTAAGGCATAGAAGTGCTGAAGCAATTCACAACTTTGCAAAGAAAAGAGCCCATGAGAGAGGGAACTTAACGTATCGTGGCCTGATTCAATACACGGTCGTTTTCTCACTCAAATGTATCGCCTCTGCTTGTGTCAAAACACCAGCTTCCTTAGTTCCCTTCTGGCTGACTATCTCCATGGTAATCATCACACTCCAGAACTCTTTGGAGAAAAGTGATTCATCCCTGAGGTATTTTTTTAAGAATCTGCTCAGTTCTGTGCTGGTAGCCCAAGAGCAGGGCTGGAACTCAGATCTGAGTCAATTGCACATAAACGGCTCTGAATACTATAATTGTCTGGTGTTATTTTGGTCTGTGGGTCTGAGTCATCCACTGGTTAAGCAGAAGGGCTGGGGGAGCATCACAAAATCTTCTACTGTTGCTACAACAAGGAGCTTGATATGAAGCTCAATCAATCCATCAATGCCTGTAACTGACTTTCATTTATCTATGCAAGATATGATACCTGCTTGGTGCAATGGCCCACTACAAGGTTATGGAGTGACTTACAGAGTGACTGCCAATCTACTCCACATAATTTTAGAACGGGTGATAGGCTGCTGCGGCAATGTCCACTTGCGATTGGGCGCTGCTGCGACAATGTCCGCTTGCGATTGGTTGCTGCTGCCAGAATGTCCACTGGTGATTGGGCGCTGCTGCAGCAATTGGGCGTGTGATTGGCTGGTGTCGATTGGAAATACAATAGGAGGCTTCTACGTTGCTTTTGATTGCAAGCGCTTGGAATTTGGGTGAGCTTTTTTCTGGCATTCCTCCCATTCGGGACAATCTCCCCCCATCGAGTCCCCAAAATTAGGGGGTGTCTTATCCATGGGGTTTCTTATATTAAGAAAAGTACAGTATATGGGAGAAAGTAATGGGCTGCATCCAGGGATACCTACCAGTGAGGTAGGGCTAAAACCTCTTCCCTGGCACAGGTGGTTCCACTGAGTCTAGTGGCTGAGCATCAGTACTGCTCCTGTCTTCACAGTCCTCATCTAGATAGCCCAGCCCAGAGTCCTGTTTCTTGGTTACACTAGAGGGTTACATGGGTTCAGGGCACATGATGTAGCTGAAGCTTAGCCTGGATGTTGTCTGGATATCCACCTGAGAGAACTCTATGTATGCCACTTTCAGCTTCATGGTGGTGGAGAAGTGTGATATAAATGTAACACCCCCCCACACACACACAGTTCAGTTCAAATTTTGGAGAGGGGAGCAAGAAAAGGCGAAACCATCTACCCTCTTTTGCATTTTGAGGATGGATGATAAATTACTTTTGGGGGTAAGGAGAACTTATGGGAGCTTATTCCGTTTGGCTGTCAGCACCATCTTTCCCCCCAGACTGTTCTGTTTTCATGGATGTAATTGCTGAGGGAGGGGCAGTAGCCACAAATGAAGTCCTCCATTTTTATTTTTTGGTGGCCACCATTTCCCCTCAAAGTGGGTTGAAGACAGTGTCCATCAATTCCGTGAGAGGAGCAGGTGTCAGGAGCGGGTCAGCAATAAATCATACAGTGTAAGTGAAGTTTACTATTTATTAGAGGAAACGAGTTCTGCTCAGGGGTGCCAAGCCTAATAAGCACAGCACTCATCTCAGTAGATCTTGCCCCTATGAGGCAGCTGTGGAGACTAAAGGTCCCTGCCTTCCCACAGCTGCTAAGTCTCTTCCTCTCCTGTGTCTTTCCCAAGCAATCTGAGAATCTGCCAGCATTCCTGTCTTTCCTTCTCCCTCTTCATACCTCTTCTGGTTCTGGGAGACCAGGAAGGAGGGGAGTGTGTCACAGCGGGAGGGGGTTTCTGCACCAGTCTGGCACATCTCTGCCTCTTGGCCTCCCTCCTCTTCTGCTTCTGGACTGACTCTCTCTGCTCACTAAACCCTGTTACCTCTTCAGCTTCCAGCACATCCTTCCTCCAGGCTTCTCCTTCATCTCCCTCTGACCACTCATTGTTGTCTCACCACTAATCCCCAGGCCCTGAGCCTTCTTCCCTTGAGGATT